TATGTGTTGTGTGTAGTGTGATGGACACCACCATGTTGATTTTTTGGATTCAGAAGTGATGATCATTAGACGAGAGCATGGAGTACCAAATTATAATCTAAAGCCAGAAAGCTTGAGTTCATGTAAGACACCACAAGCCCTGCCGTTTTCAAGTGCAGTTCACTAACTAACAGAGGAGGGGGAAATCACATATTTGTTACATTTGAGATCTAAGTGAAACTAGTAAGCTTTTTAAATTTAAAAAAAAGAATTGCAGAGATGGAGGATAGTTTATTGAGACTATCACATATTTTTATTGTTTGCATGAAGCTATATGCACTTAAGCAGTGGAAATGCACAGATGAGAGCATAAATAGACTCAATTTATTTTTCTCTCTCTTTAACTGAAGACTGATTAAAAGTTTAGGGTGTAAAACTTAGAAAACGGTACAATATGATTAAATCTGATCTGTCTGAACAGCAAGGCTTAGCAGAGGTAGTTTAATAGTATAATGCAAAGAAATTATACACAAAGAACATGTACAGTACTCACCTGGTGATTCAGGTTCAGGTCCCACACTTAGGTTGTCCTGTATTAAAAAAAACCAAAAAAACAAAACAGTAAAGATAAGGAAGAAAGAAAAAAACCCCCACAGGTGTTCTTGTTTCACTGCACACAGTTAAAATTGAAATTAATAATGTTAATGGGTTAATGTCAAATGGACATGAGAACAGGACAAGAAAGTGCAATTATTATACATGACTGCATACATTTCTTTAGTTTTAAAGGTCATAATGGTTATGTTTGCCACATTTTTTTTTACTTTTGCAAATAATCTGAATGACCCTCAGTACCTACAACTCAAAGGTTACCAATATCAGGACCTTTGTTGAGTCATTAAACAATGTGCTAAAGCTAGAGGTGGCTTCAGGCTTTCGTGCTGACTTAAACACACCTTTGCTGATTAGTAATCACAGACATCTACAATAACAGGCTGACATCAGCCAGGTTTGCAGTCACTATCTATGCAAATTAGAGATAATCTCTGAGGTTACCGTACCACCGGTCTCACTGGAGGCACAGACAGGTAGGTGTTAGGGTGGGGCTCAGTTAGTGTGTATTTATTAGAGATTATTATTGAAGTGCTGCCTGTCGCAAACCTATGTATTCCTCACTAAAGAGACTTTTTTTTTGCACAGGCTTGGAATAAAAATGTTCTGCAACTCATAAAATACAAGTCAAAAGGTACCTTTGGCTTATTTGGGTGGCTTCGGCTTGGACTTTGGGCAGGTCCCGTGCCTGCAGGCCCAAATATGTTGCTGGTTGGTCCACCTGGTGGCATGGGTCTCTGTGGTTGAGCAGCAGGCTCAGATTCACCAAATATTCCACTACTCTTTCCACCTATAAAAGATTAACCAACATACCATATAGTGACACGATCTTCTAAAATAATTCAGCAATGGTAAAAAAATAAAATGTAATTTCTGTGTCCATTTCATAAAGAGTCACTCTTCTGTACCGGATGTAGCACATTCCCAGTTTAGTTTTGCATACTGTGTGCACTTGCTAAATGGCAAGAATGTTCTGACCATTTCAGAGAAAAATATTTATGACCATCAGGGCAATCAAGTACCCTGAACTGTAAATAAACCCAGCTATACCAGAGTAATATGAGCAGGTGTATTATGTGCAGGCACAGAGAACAGCCAACATGTTTACAGTGGAAATTTAACATTGTAGTAATAGTTTTCACACTCTGAACATGGATTTGCAGAGACAGAAAAGCCAAAGCATCAGCCACCAGCAGGTTAATCTCACCTGGGGGATTGGAGCGTTTCGGTGCACTCTGGGCTTCCTCTGGTGGAGCAAAAACTTTGGAGGCCATCTTATTGGGTCTTTTTGATGCTGCAGAGTCCTCTTCATAGCCACCAAACAGATTGCTGGAGCCACCTCCAGGAGGCTGCAACACCCTACAGATTAACATACAAGTTAAATCTTTACATAAACAGAATGCGGATTCATGTTTACAGTCTACTGTTACTGTCATGTCTTACATTCAAAGACTTGTAGGAAACGTTAAGTAACCGGGCTATAAATATGTTAGCTGGGCCAACTGAGCTAAATAACAGGTTACTTGATTATAGACTCGGGAATGGCGCCATATACGCATGGAAACCATTGTCTGCTATAGATTATATCAGACAGACGCTTTACTTTCTTTCGTTATTGAAAGTTTGATCATTCTACTTGGGGGAGCTGATCCGGAAACTGGTGCTTTCGAGATTTAAAAAAGCACCCGAACCTCTTGCTATAAGGAAAGTGTGACCATAACGCCTCTGTTGGCGGATACAAAGAAGAGCCTTCCGAGGAGCATTTCACACTTCCGCAGGCGCAGTAGACAACGCCTGAATGGCTAGCTCGAAAGCTATCATGACTAACAAGTTTGCTAACTCAAACCACTGCAGCTCCACTTAAGCGTCCACCCAGACATTTAAGCTTTCTGAGAGCACTGCGTGTTCGAGATATGCTTAAAGAAATTAGTGGAAGGAGAAAAAAAAAAACCTACGAAGTTCTGACAGGCAACGTTATACTAAATTCTGGGCTGCTAACTGTCCGAGCTCCTGGCTGCAGTCGGAATAAAACGTTACTGGCGGCTCTTATTCGCACATAACCAAGCCGCGCAGCTGTTGTCTTTACCTTGAACTCGGTTTCGAACCACTATCCAACCCTTGAAACATGTTAGTCGAAGTCATGGTGGCTCTGTTTTGACCCTTCAAGTTTCCGAAGACAACTTATTCGTCAGTTTGCCAACTGGACGACGAGCGAGTTCCCCCCTCTGCCTGCGCGTGCCCGGCTCAACTCCGTAGTGAAGAATTTCGAGCCCACCCAACTATGACACAGAGGATTATAACTGGTCCTCTGCCAAGCTGAGGTGCGCTCGTTTCACTGCACCCAGACTCCCATTACGAGTGAAAGACTTTTGAGAAGCAACTGTGCATTGTTCCCGGAACAGCACTGAGGCTATAGTTTTCTTATTTAAATATGATTTACACAGCTGTTTAATTATGGCAATAGGTTATACACATCTTCTACAAAAGCAGGAAAGTTTCGCCTTGTGAGTCTCAAAAACGCGTTAAACAGTAGTAGACATGGACTAATTTCCACGTGTGCGCTTGTTTTATTCTTAAACAGATAAGTCTGAGATGATGATATCAACTCAAAACGTAGTGCTCAACACAGTTAATGTTTTGTTTCAGTTCTTCTTAGACATGTGGGGTTTTTTTATACTCCAATACAAAATTCAAGCGCATCCTCTGAGTTCCGCCTACTGAATTGTTCGTCAAGATGTCAATCATTTTTTGGGCGGAACTTGTCTTACAGGACCAGAAATGTTAATTGCAGTGATAAACTATTGTTAAAACAAACAAAAAAAAATTTAATAGCTAAAAAAAAGGTTAGATTATATATCACCCAGAGTCGCTTAAAATGTTTAGTGTACTAGTCGGTAAACTTGGCGAGGCGTGACAGGAAGAGAATGACAATTGGTCTTTCGTTGTTAACTCTTCCACTAACAGTTGGCGGAGGTTTCTGTCAATCAAACTTTAACCGCCGACCTCGTGTTTTTTTAGCCAATCACAGTCTTTGTTTTTGTATAGTAATGGGCGTGTCTGCGCGCGCTGACAACGGGGCAGCTGGAGCTGTCATCGGTAGCAAGCTGGAGGTCTACAGTCAGCTAGCAATGCTAAATTGTGTCTCGTTTGGGAATACTACCAGCAATCTTCTGCTTTAGGTAAGCTCAGTAATATTTACCAATTCAACAACCTGTTTTGGACTCTGTACAAAATAGCCGTTATGCTAGGAGCAGTTTTATAACGTAAAATCTTGTTTGACTTGTTATACTGTTAATGTTAGCTAGCCAACAACAGCAGCCATGCTGGACATAGTAGCGGGCTATCCACGGAAGAAATATTTGACTACATTTAATATATTTTGCTACATCTACTTACTAGCAACTGCTTGTAAACACCTCAAATTATTACACCACCGCACTTCCAAATACACGTGAAGCTTCCGATATAATATTATACTCGTGATGAGACTATTACAGCTGCTAAGTAGTTTTTAATGTAACACTGCTGTGGGACGCGAGTGATGTCATTTAGTGAAGTAAAAAGAGAACCGCGGTGTCAACTCAGATTGCACTGAAAGAAAATGATAAAACAGAATAAGTGACAGCTATAGCTGTCCATCACTTGAAGTTTAAAGATCTTATTAAGCTCAATTGAAACATTAAATAGCTGAATCAATTATCTAAGGCTTTCATAAATTATTAATTCGTCTCAATTTGTGCCAGAATTGCCTGATAATCAGCTGTATGCTGACACGAACTGAGAGATTTAAATGCTGTGTGGCAAAAGAAGACATTCGTGATGTTTCCCCATACTAAAGCTGCCCAGGTCTGATTTTTTTTTCGTCCTTAAGCACTGGACATCCCCTCTCCTGATTATTCAGCAAGCATAAAATTAAGTTGTGGGAAAACAGTAGAGCACATAGGATAAGAAACTCTGCAGTGTTTACACATTTTAACACAAGTGCAGCACCCCTTCTACTCCTTCAGCTCCTTCTACTCAACGTGTACTTAAAGCCACGTCCTGATTTTCCTCACGTGCCATCGTGTGTATTTATGAGGGGCTGTAGTATTGCTGGCAATTAATAACATTATCATGGCAAAGGTTTGAGCATAAAATGATTTCTTTTGCAGGCACAATTTCTGCTTATGATGACGTAGTGTGAAGCGAAGTCCACTCACAGCCTAATAAAACTATACCTGCTTATATCAATTCAAATGAGCTCAACCGACACGGGCTTTTTGTAAATTATTATCCATCAAAATGCAGTTAAATATCTCGTATTTGCGGCTGGTTTTGTGTCATTTATGTCTCGTTGCATGGAAAGCATTGAGTAATGTTGTTGCTGATAGAAGAGACAGTTGAACTGCGCAGAGAGTTCAGCTCAGTCGAATCAGGAGCAAGGAGAGGGCATGAAAGCGGAGCGATCGCTCTCGGCTTTATTATGCTCAATTTGACCACTAATTGCCAGTCTAACCGCTCGGACCCATGGTGAAGAGAAAGAAGACATCGTCTACTACAGAGGAGCACCAAAATGGGTAAAATTAGGTTTGAAATAAACACTTTATTTAGAGGTCGAAGGCACCGAGGGGGTTTTCGTTGTCGTTTCTGCAGGGCGCTAAACTGAAAAGCGGTCGCTTTTGAATTCAGTTTAAATTAAATCGTCATTATTGGCCATTAGAGCGGAAAGCTACTCGGAAAAGCATCGCTGCCAGTCTTCTAACTGCTTCAGTTGTTAAATCTAATTTATCTCAAGGCATGAAATGCATATATTTGGTGTTGTTTTGACGGGACTGAAGAGGGGATTTGAAACAAACAGCGGCGGCCATGTTGAGAGACAGTGAACGTCGTCTTTAGAAGTTAATTTTGCACATCGCTTTGCTCCTAATGTGACAAATTTTGTGTAATTGTGTTGTGGCAGCATGACACCGGGCTCCAGGGAGGGGATCGGTGTCGATGGGAGGAGGAATCCGTCCAGAAAGCCCGACGGTTGCGACGAAGAGGAGAACGGAGAGCAGGCGAGCGAGGAGCGCAGTACAAAGGGAGAGGACGGAGTGGAAATTCTTAATCCATCAACCACGGGTCTCGGCTCCGGTTCAGCCCCGGTCCTTCCTGCTTCTGCTCCGAACCGAACCGGACCAGGCTCGACCCAGCTTCCCCAGACATCAGCTGAGCCCGGCCCTCCGGGCCCCGACCAGCATCATTTTCTCCGATCAAGCGTTCGACCTCCGAGCAAACGGATACGGAAGGATTCAATCGGCTCCTCCATCAATGGACATGGCGGGGCAAAATCGAAAGGTAAGTGAGTGACCAGCTCGGGAAAGAGTGTGTACAGGTGGGATCAGGAGAGATTGGGGGCTGCGCTGTCAGTTTTAGTTTTCTCTGTCGGTGCTTGCAGTGTGCTTGTCTGTGATGCCGTTGTGTTGCCGTGTATCCCCTGTGGGCCACTTGCTGGGTTGTACTCTGGGTACATTTTTTGGCTGCTCCAGCCCATGTTGCAACACCATCCTGTACTCCACTTATGCGGGAAAAAAAGAAGCAAAAATCAGGAGAGGCCAGAAGTTAGATTTTAATTAAGATGTCACTTGATTGTTTTTGCAGTTTCTTGGAAACTGGCAGCAATAACAATAAAAGCACGGTGTTGTTATCAGCAGGAGGAATAAATCACAGGCTTAAAATAGACCTGATATCAGGACAGGAAAGGGACATTACTGAACAGGGTTGCTTACAGTTCTTTTTGTCTTTTTTCTTATTATTTTCTTTTGGGACTATATAGGAAATTGGACTAGAATGGTGTTGCAGTTTTCAGCCAATCATTTCATTGACACACAGATTTAGCCTAGGCTACCTTTGTTTTTGTTTTTTATCACCCCCCTTTTACAACAAATACCAGTAAAGCAGAGGTTGTAATTTATTTGCCATTATTCAGTTTTGGTTTTGCAAATAATCTGAATGAGCCTCTGTAGTAACTCAGAGGGTGACTGATATCAGGAACTTTCTAAACAATGAATCAAAGCTAGAGATGACTTAAGACTTTCAGGATGACTTAAACACAATGAAGGATTCCCCTGTAGGCTACCAATCACTAATAGTATTGTATTTGCTAAGTGTGAGCTGGTTGGTGTCAGTTTATCTATGCAGACGAGGCATTACCTCCTGGGTTTCCACACTACCTGTCCCTCTGGAGGCACAGACAGCTTTGGGTGGGGCTGAGACTTAGTAAGGTGGTGGTGGTTTTTGAGTTTGTTAATGAGGCTATGCCACCCAGTAATCTGTGTGTTCCTCATTGAAAAGTGGAATTTATTTGGAAAAATATTTCAGTACATTATACATCTGTGATTTTAATTTGTACATTTTTCCTTTTAAAATTGCTTTGTCCACAAAACAGCAGCCATTGATCAGATCAGAAACAATATTATTTACTTGTGTATCCTTTGACAGGTATGACTGGTGGATTTTTGTTGTTTGAAACAGAAAAGCTCTGATTGTGTCAGAAACTATATTTAGATTGAGCACAAACGTTTGACTGTCTGACCAAGAAAGCCTCACTTATTTTTATGTGATGCTATATCGGTGCACTTCTATTTTGAAGGCGACACATCTAGGTTATTGTCTGTGAGCCAGTCACATGCTTGTGTTTGCAAATTAACACCCATTTGGGCTAAAAAAAACAACAAAAAACACTTTTTTTTCTTTATTTTTTTTTTTATTATAATGTAGCACAGTACTGCAACAGCAACTCTCTGAGTGCTCCTGCTAATGTCTCCTGGTGTTGTGCGCAGTGCTGGGCCAGAAAACTTGGCCAGTGGAGCCCACCATGAGTTGGTTTTGGAACTGTGTAATGTAGACCTGACCATAGGGACTGATTGCTTTTCCTGTCTCCTTGCCAGAGCTTAACCACAGAGAGGGGAAGCTCTGCAGGTTCTGTGCGCTGTAATGGCAGTGGGTGGCTTTGTGTGCATGTATTTTAACATCTCGCAAATCACACACCTCAGATCAACCTTTTTTCGTTATGACATACAAAACAGCCAGGGTGGTGAGCTGATATTTAAGTTGTGCCTTTCCTCTGAATGTTTCTGTGTTAAAACAGGGGCAGAGAATGGCTCCTCTTCCCAGGGTGTGGTGGGACAGACCGGGCCTGTGGTCAGCTCCACGGGGGGAGTATCCAAGACCTCCAAGGGCCAAGGGTCTACAGAGAAGGAAGAACAAGCTGGTAACCAGAAAAGAGCCCGTCGGCAGTGGGAATCCTGGAGCGCTGAGGACAAAAACAGCTTTTTTGAGGGTCTTTATGAGGTAAAGCTTGCAACAACCTTTTACCAAGTTAAAAGTTTACCATGTGTAGATCTTTTGACGTCGTAGATTCACGACTGCCCTCCTTTGTTCCCAGCACGGGAAGGATTTTGAGGCCATCCAGAACAACATTGCAATGAAGTACAAGAAGAGAGGCAAGCCAGCAAATATGGTGAAGAACAAGGAACAGGTCCGCCACTTTTACTACCGAACTTGGCACAAGATCTCCAAACACATCGACTTCGCTAACGGTGAGTTGCTTTTTTTTCTCTCTCTCTTAATTCACCTTGGAATTTTTGATCCCCAAATATGAAGCTTGTACACTGTAATGACTTTATCGAATGACGCCTCATAAAAATGTGTACAACTCATACAACAAGGTGATGTCTTAGGCTGATCTTAATTGGTTTATTTTAGGTTTGTGTTTAGTTGTTTCAGTTATGCTACTTACTGCAGACACTGTGAATGAGAAGTAAAGAAGAGATGCTGTTAAACAGCCACATATATTATTATTTTTTCCTACAACAGAACTCACACTGACATTTTTGTTGTTTAGCAAGCAAAACATATGTTAAAGAAGCTCACCAGATAAGCTGGAGCTCTTTTCCCCTACAAAAAGCACCCAGTGTTACTCTCATGTTATCTTTATGTAGCACGCACAGGCCTCCACCAGTGTTGTGACTTGTGCTTCCTTTCCTTCTCAGTGTACTCCAGGGTGTTAAAGAAATCTTCTCAAGAACTGTACGGCCTCATCTGCTACGCCGAGCTTCGCAAAAAAGTTGGAGGATGTAAGTGAGGGCTGTGAAAGTGCTTGGATGCAATGTAGACTGCATGTGTTTTGCTGTTTGTTCTGCTGGTTGTGGACACAGGGGATGTGATTAAACTCCAGATGATCCCTGTGGCTCGGGGCAGTTGCCCCTGAGGAGCATGTCTTAACTAGCTGTCTTGTGTTTTGTCTTTGACAGTGATGGATGATAAGAATGTGGCAAAGCTGAACGAACTCATCCAGCAAGGGTAAGTCTGTGGCAGAAGCTTTGGCTAGTGGGTTTATGTACACATCTGGGATTGTGATACTTTAAACTGATGCACTAGATCACATTTGGAAAGATACAGATTAGCACTTTGCTAGTATGAAAAACAAATCTGAGGGCTGAGTCGACAGTATGTAGTCAGATGCTTTCTCTGTGGCACGGCAAGGTTTAGAGCTTACAACATATATGAATAAAGATTCTTCTGTTCCACCAGGGCCACCACCGTGCGCTCTAAGGGGAGGAACCTGCGGATCAAAGCTCCAATGTGCCGAGCGTTGAAGAAACTTTGTGATCCAGATGGTGAGTATGAGCCTGCAGAAACCCAGCACACGCGTTACAGAACAAGTACTGAAAACCTCACTGATGGTGAGACTGGGGGGTTCACGGGGGCGGGGCTTTTTTACAAAAACCATGGCATCAAGTGGGCTGGTGGTGTTTCCATGGTAACTTTGGGTGCAAAGTGAGGAGGATGAAGGAGATGACTGTTCTGACCAGCTGTCATCAACCCCTCTGCTCAATAACACCCACTCATCACACTTACTGAAAATATTTGCTTTAATCAAGGGTAGAAAAAGACTGTCTCTTGTCATTGTTGTATGTAAATCTGTGAATGGATCCCACTGAGATTGATGGCTGCCTTTTCATTTTGTCGTGGTTGATTAAGTGAGAGAGCATAGTTGAGTTTATAGGTTTTAGGCTTTTCTTATAGTGGCTGAATCTGTAATTTTGTGTCCTGCAGGAGTGAGTGATGAAGAGGACCAGAAGCCGGTGCGTCTGCCCTTGAAGGTGGCAGTGGAGCTCCAGCCACGCAGTAACCATTCCTGGGCCCGAGTTCAGAGTCTTGCCCACAACCCTCGCCTCAGGTCTGACATGGATAAGAACCAGAATATATTTTCAAAAGCATAACATCCAAGAGTCAGAGAGATGTCATAACTTCATTAATTCATTTTCTATTATTATTTTATTTATTTATTTTATTAGTTCAAGCCATGGTGATGCAACAAAGCCTGAGCTAATTTAAGAACCTCTTCTTGGCTTCAGACTGCTTATTTCAGTTTGATGGTTTGCATGTTTTCCACCGTTTTCTGGGTCAGCTCTTGAGAAATGAAAGTAATAAAATTTCTGTTTTTTTTTTGTTTTTTTTTGTTTTGTTTTTTTTGTGCAAATTAAATATGTGTGTATATGTTTTTTTAAGCTAACTCGTGAAATTTGAAAAGTGTAAACACCCTCAGACATGATGCTGTTCAAAGTTTAAACTCTATTTCTTTCATTTTTAATTTTTGTTCTCAGTTCAGTTTTCAGTTAGTGTTCAGACTGGGTTTGCTTCTTTTGAGGTTCAGTTTCGTTTTTACTAGTTTCAGTGTTAGGGTTTTTTTTGTTTTTTTTTTAATTATTATGATAATAAGGGTTATTTATCATGGGTAGGTTGAAGAAGGGTAAAGACTTTGTGAAAATGGCTGAATTACAGCAATGTCAGTATGCATTTGTTTGCAAACGTGACAAAACAAATATAGTAAAACTATACATTAATGAAAATTTCTGTTTTATTTTAGTTATTTTTGGAGCACGTAGTTGGCGTTTTGATTTTCCCCACACAGGATTATTTCGGTTTTAGAAAACTCTATTAAATTTGATCCACAGTAGTCTAAGTGTAAAATGTAGAAGTAGTTTATGTCAGACGTATTCGACCTGGTAGTGTTGTATTTTGCAAAGTTGACATCAAATGTTTTTTCTGTTTTCTCAGGATGGTGGTGGAGCTCCACAGGAAAGTTTCCAGCCTCATAGAGTATCTGAAACAGAAGTGGGCTTATCATGACCAGCGGATTGTATCCTTTAAAAAAACAAACATTACAGTGCAATATGTATGCAAAACTCTTCAGAGTGTTTTTCATTCCTAGTGTACATATTAAAAATGTACTGCTCTAACATGCTGCTTTCTGGGGCATATACCAGCTTGTGTCGAATATAAACTGGTCCTTAACGTTGAAAACTCAGCTTAAGAGTCTCATGGAGAGAGAGGCTCTAGAAGGCAACCAGACCAGCACAGCCTCTCCCAGCATAACTCAGAAGGAAGAACTTTTTCTTTTTCCAGCTGAGAGCTGCACATTGACTACACTGCCTGGGGTGGCACGTGTGGTTCACTCCAAAGCCTCCTGCACTGTCCATTGGATCGAGAGTGGCAAGAGCCGACCTAATGCCAAGGAGTTGCCAGCTGCCCAGATCCTGGGCATCCATGCAGCTCCACAACCTCGAACTGGCAGCAAATCTGGGCGGGGAAGCGCTGCTGTTGCTGGTGCTTCACTGACTATAACGGGTGATGCTCGTCGAACTGAAACCCCCAACCCTGATCCATCAGCAGACAGTTCTGCAAAGGTAGAGGAGAAGAGACTTCAGTCCCCTTGTGTCCCAGTTTCCTCTCAGCAGACTGTCAGAGAAGAGGGAGATGGGATGGGATCTTCTGATCCAGGAAAGGCCTGCACTGGCGTTGAGGTCAGTGGTGGTTTAGCCATGACCAGAAGCACGGACAGGTCATGTAGTGGTGCCGATGGCTCTGCTGAGCAGTACAAAGAGGAGCAGAGCACCAGCGCGTCTTCCTCGGAGGCAAATCAGCCTCCTTCAGTCAAACCTTCAGTGACTGGCTCAGACGAAGCCGTGTCGCAAGCTTCCCCACCAGCGACCAAAGAACGGGTCGTTGAGCAGATCAGAGAGGAAGGCTGGAGCGCCCGTGACGCAGAGAACGTCACCCTGGCCGAGCTGTACCTGATGTTTGGGAAGCCAGGCAAGCTGCAGCTGGAGTACGAGTGGCAGCCGGTCACAGCTCCACCCAGCAACTCAGAAGAGGGACAAGCCTCAGTGCAGCCAAAGCCCGACAGGACAAATCGAGTTTTGCGCTGTTTACTCAAGCTGGTTTCCACTGAAGTCAACCCCAAACCTCTGGTAAGTTTTCCCTTTTCTGTCTTCCAAGATTGTGGCCTGGTGTGTTGTTTAAATTACAAGTTGAAAGGATGAAAAATGTGTAATTATCAGTGGCATTAAGGCTTAAAATTAAACATTTTTAAGATGCAGCAGTGTGAAGAGTTTATATTCCGTACAAAGCCAGCTGATGAAAAACATGTTACTGGTTATGTACTATGAACACCACAGGTTTTTTTTTTGTTGTCTTTTTCAATGAAAGTGCTATTTCGAGATAGGAGCATATCATGTGCCTTTTCCTTCAGGCTCCAGAGCTGTGCTCCACAGCCACATCACCCCTCAAGACCTATCAGGAGGAGCAAAACCAGGTCCTCACACCTCCGGCGAAGGGTCCTGTTGCAGGCGCCCGTAGCCCCAGCTGTGGGCGGCCGCAGGCGTCTTTGCGCATGCCCAAGTTACAGCTGCCAAGTGCTGGAGGTATTTATGTCTCTCTCCTGCTGGCTTTTGTGATAAAGTCTTTTCTGTACTTACAGTGCTGTAGTTATTAAACAGCGAGAAGTAATTATGCAGCACCGATGCTTCCTCTTTAGAAGTTGTCTTCAAATAGCTGCCTTTCCTGATGTGGCACCACATCTGTTTCAATCCTGTTCAGGTGGGCGCAACCTTCCCCGCTCTCTGCTGGGTTCTACTGCAGTTGGCGAATCAGAAAGCAGCGTGTTCGCAGTACCCACCACGCTGCCACCCAACAGCTCACGGCACAACCGAATGTTCTCCCCTAACAAAGAGGCAGAGCTAGCCTTCAGACAGCAGCTCGACTCGATCAGTGTAAGCCAGAATAATGCATCATTTTTTGTTTATGCCAACTGTACAAAGACATAATTCATGTATTAACGAGCATTAATATGTGCTTTTTTCTTTTCTTTTTCTCACAGATGCAGTCAGATCTTTTCCTTTCTAGACAGCGAAAACCTCGGAACAGACAACTTCGCAAACCACTTGTAGTTCAGGTGAGAGCAGGATCATTATCCATTCATCAGTTCTGGGCTTGGTTGGGTGGAAGGCGGCTTTTCCTAATTGTGTTTTTGTTTGGCCACTTCTTTCTCGTTCACAGCGAACACTGCTGCCCAGAACTACAGGAGACACTCCTCAACACGTCTGCTCCTTCTCCATCCTCTCCAACTCCTCTGCCACAGGTACTCCTCAGATGGCAGGACAGAACGATAGAATATGTCGTCAGCTGAGGCTGGAAATGTTTAGGGCGTAGTTTTACAGTATGCATTAATGAAATCACAGCTAAAAACGATTTCTCTTTCTCAGCAAGTAATTGTCTGCTCTCTCACTTCCTGTTTCTTCCTTCAGGAACGGGATCTTTCCGGCCGATCCATCCCCGACTAGCTCCTTCCTCTCGCTCTGTCCAAACTAAAACAACCCCAGCAACATCCAGCTCTGCGGGGGCCAGCCAGCTCTCTAGTATGGACTTCTTCTGTTATCTACTACATTTTTCTGTTTTATTGAAATATTGATAAACTCTACACCAAATATACTGCAAAAAAATTACATATTATTGTTTTTATGGGGTCAACAACTTGGGAATTTCTGTAAAATACCACAAGCGCTTAAATTAACCTACATATTAATCATCCTATTTACTTTTAACCTCTGTAAAGGACTTCTACCACACCAGCAACCAGATCCTTGGGAAAAATTTGTCCTTCTTTTTGAAACTTTGCTTTTATAAGCACCCAGTTTCACACCTTGGCTCAGGCGATTAGAGGATCATCAGGGGTCCTTTTGTCCCTCTGTGGGGGGATACTCCCATTAGGTTTAAATCTGGGACTCTCCACCATTTGACCTTAGAACTGAAAAAGCTTCTCGGATGAGAGGTGAAACGTCTTCAAGTAACTTAAAGAAGTCCAGACGCTTTTCTTTGTAAGCTCCTTTGACTACGATGACCTGGATGACTGAGAACCTTCACAGACATATTTTATAAAATTGCTTAAAAACATATTTAAGGTCCAAGTTGTATTTGTGTAAGATTCCTGTGTCAAAATCTAGAACTCTGAGTAGGTCAGTGACAGACAGTATTTCTGTGCAGACGACAGAAGCAAAAACATTTTTCCAGAAGACCTTGGACCATCCCTTTTTTTTTTCTTCTTCCTGCTCTGCTCTTCACATGCTGTTGCTGTTAATGCTTATCAGGAGCGATATGACAAATCTCTCATTTGCCTGAACTGTTAATACTTTCAGGTGCCATTGACCTGGCAGCTAAGTCTGCAGGCATCATCCCAGGCAGTCCCTGTCGGGAGGTGGATTCTTCCACTGTGGATAACAGCGCTCTTCTCGCCACCACTCCCATTGCTGATGCTGAGCCAGACTCTCAACTCCACCAGCAAAATGTTCCAGAGGTCAGAGACACACACACACACACACACACACACACACACACACACACTAGAAGCCTCCGTCATTTGATGTCTCCTCCTTGCCTTTGGCATGTGGCATTAGAATAAATGCTATTGCCCATTACCATCTTGGTGTTACATTTAAAACGGTCAGTTTTTGATTTATCTTACTTTAATGAAAGTTATTGCTCACTCTAATGATTTTCTGTTTATCTGTGCGGTGTAGGCCAGGTTTTGCATAATGTTTTTCTTTTTACTGTGCATCTGTCGTACAAGACTTCACAAATGATTTAGTAATTTTTATAGATTTTCTTTGTAGACATTATTCTTGCATACAGTTGTCATATTCATGATCACCTGTTTATTTGTCTGTTACGGTTTAAAAACAAGCTGCTCCAAACAGTTTGCCCTGATGGGATTAATAAAGCTGTTTGTATCGCCATCAGGGCGTTTCCTTGCTCACAGTGGACCTTTGTGAGGGAACACTTGGCTTAGTTAAAGGCAGTGAGTCTGCGTAACCTCATTTGTTTTCCAGTCGTAGCTGATCACCATTTGGTAAAGAAAATTGTCAGCTATGCTTGAATAAATGGTTTAAAAAAAATGTGATGTGTTAAGTTAAATCGCTCTTTCCATAGAATGGCGTACCACCTCCGTCTCCTGGAGTCACCGGCGGGGGAGACTCACTCCTCTCTCCCCCGAGCGTTGCCTCGCTCCTTGATATCTCACTCCCAGGCCCTCCTGAAGAGGCTCTAACCCCCGGAGAACCTCAAACGCAGATCAGCGACTCCATCATCGAGCTTGCCATCAACTCCACACATTACGGTGCGTGCACGTGCAGACGTCTTACCCGAGCCATATTGACAAGAAACTGCTAAATAAAGCTTGATGATGTTTGTTTAGTGAAATGGAAAGTGAGAGTAGGTTAGAAAGGTTTTGTAATTACCACTGAGGTCAGCTTTGTGGCTCCACAGCATTAATTCCTCTGCAGGTTGTGGAAAAGAGTGCACGTTGACATCCAAGCAGCTAAACATCTGAGCCTGCTGAGTTTAATCGCTGATGTCTCATTTCTGTTTGCCTGCTGCACTGCAGGTGAGGAGGCTGCTCTCTCTCCAGCCAAGCTGGGCAACAGCGACGGCTCCAAACTGCTGGCCTCGTCTCCCTCGCTCAGCCCATCCAGAGGCTGGATCCCTTCACCCAGCCACGACCCTCAGTGGTACCCCAGCGACTCGTCTGACTCCACACTGGGATGCCTCCTTTGTAAGAGTTTTTTTGCTTCCTTTCTCAAGAGTGTGTCAGAAGTTACATTTTAGGCCAAGAAGAACAGAATATTAAGTGGATGTATTTTTATCATTACTTCCCACTAAAAATGCTGCATACAGCAGCACGTGCAGTCAACCTTTACAAAGATTTGTTTGTAAAATCCCCAATATTACTAACACAGCTGTATGATGAAAGGCCATTTACTCAGTCTTTTGCTCTTATTTTCCTTGCAGCCAGCATGGTCTCTCCTGATAAGGGCAGACGGACCACCCTAACCCCCACTGGCCCCTCCAGTGGCACAGCTCTACTCGGTCCTAGCCTCCTGGACTGCAATTCTCATGATTCCTTTCAATCCCGTGGCCTTCCTGATGTGGCAGAGGTAAGTAAATGCTTGTTGATTAAATGAAAGAAAGTTGTGACTGAGAAGCAACACTTGCCACAAACACAACACAATCCTCTGAATCTCAGTAACCAACATGTTATATGTTATTAATTAGTCTCTAAAATGTAAATGTTAAAACATCACTTCCCATTTTAAAAATAACCTGCATTTATATCCACTCTGAAAATGTGGTTCTTATCCCCTTTTGGATCTGTCCTGCTGTGCAAGTGGACTCTGACCCAGAGCCGGTTGTGTTAGGGACCACATGGTACCTTTTGGATAGATCAGGTTCTGGGCTGATCCACCAAATTTTAGGTGATTTTTAAATGAAAAACTTGTTGAGTCACACCCTGAGATTCAGACACCATACCTTTTGAAATGCTGACAGCATTTAATATCTGAATCTCAGTCTGTGAACACGTTTCCATTTTTAGTGCTCTCTCTCGCTCTCTTGCGTGCTTTGATAGCGACTTTATGAAGAATTGAATCGGGAGTGTCAGTTAGCTGGTTCAGGTGTGGCAGGAGGGGATGAGGCAGAGAGAAGCTCTAAGTTTGTTAAAGAAAACCTGCCAGTGAGCAGGTTTAGTTCAGATTGTGTTAAGTGATTCATCTCAGGGTTAACAAACGCAGACTTGTTAGCTTAAACCTGTTTCCTGGGATGGGGCCCAAACCTGCCTGGGAGGTGAATAGAGCCCGGTGCCTGTTGCCTCCTGTGTTTGGACTAACACATCTGCTTTTTCAGTAAATAATTTAATTTCATTGACAGATATTGATGTGATGAACTTTCCCCCCCCCTGCACTCTTGACCTAAAGCATGAAACTGTTCGAGGGATGTCTGGAAAAATCTTGTTTTTTGTTTTTTTGGGGTTTTTTTCTCCTTCTTGGATTTGCCCTTGTTGTCAGTCTGAAAGCTCTTTGGTGTTGCTTGCAGATGGATTCTCAGCTTGCTTGTATGATGAGTGAGAGCAGCATAGACTACATCGCTCGCTTCAATGATCTGGCTCAGGAGCTCGCCGTAACTGAGCCCTCCATTCCACCTCCCTGAGGAAGACTCCACCAAGCCATGGTCATCTGTACCTCTAATCTACAGCCAGTTCCAGGCATTTCCACAGTTCCAGGAGAGAGAGACACAAACTTCTGGGCCCACACTTGGAAGCAGTGACTACTGCTAGAAATTCAAAACCGATTTGCAGCCAGCAGCTGCAAATTACCCCGACTTTTACCACGTCTGGTTCTCACACCTGTCGATAAGCAGGCCGGTCCTAAAAAGAGACCAAGGCAGAACTTTGTTCACCTAGAGCATCATGTTGTTGGTGACAAGAGGTACTGTAAGTGAGGAGAGGAGAGGTTTCCTCTCTGTCTTCTCCCTGTTTGGAGAAAGAAGACTGGGGAGAAAGGCCAACCCCATCCCCCTTCAAAGCCATCCATGGCCTGTTTGTAAAAGTGCAATAATAGGTGGTCAACTGTGACCATTGTTCAAAAGCGAGTTGCGTTGGTTTCACTGAACTGTTCTCTAAGGAACAATTCCCTTTAAATACAAACACTTTAGATAAAACAAATGAGTTTACAAAGATACAACCTCATGTACAGGAAAATACTATGCCATATCCGAACAAAATATCTGCAACGACCTTTCATGTCTCTTCCTGCTCTCGGTGTGTGAGTGCATGAATGTATCTGTGTGTGCGTGTGTATTAAAGGCTGTAAGGCTGACCGCTCAAAATGTGCAGTTCAGATCATCAGCTGGTGGCAAACAGCCACTGGACTGTGATTTTTATTAAAAGTAATGTCGGTGAGAAAGAGATACTTGGCATAGTTCAGTAGCAAAAGTGGAACAAAACAAAGTGATGTGTAGAAGTTCATTTTTCCTGTTGGCCTCCTTTTTTCTTTTTTTTGTTCCTCATCTCTTATGAGTTCAGGTGTTACAGATTGTGTCGTAGTCACGCGTGTTTGGAATCGGGTTCTTCATTTCTCAAACCCACATTTTAAAAAAACAAAAAAACAAAACAAAAAAACAAATACAAATAAAAAATGGCAGCTTGTTGGTTGACTCCACTTGGGTAGCTCCACAGATGCTGAAAATGTTATTGGAATTATTTTATTGTTGCATTCATTTCTCATTAGTTTTGTGTGCAGAGATGCAAGTTCAAATATTGGATTTTGTTGCATAAACAGGAATACCTTTTTAGATATTTAAGCCCTCTTCACACGTGTGGTATTTGGAGACTGAATCAGAATGTTTTAAAGAGTCTGTGCTGACAGTGCTTATAGCCACAAACAGCATAATGTGCGTAATGTACTGTTCTTCATGGTTGTTGCGTCTGAATGAAAGTCTTGAGGAACGTTCACATTAAAACGTTTCCTTTGACTCGGCGCTTTCCCAGCTCCTCATTCGCAAGCTGCAATAGGGAGAATTTCCCTCCTGTATTGTAGATGTGAGCGTGAATTGCACAGGAAGGTTTTAATGAAGGGAGATGAACAACTCAAAAAGATGCGCGTGAGCGGCAGCACTCTGATGCGTGCCTGTCTGTTAACATACATTCAGGCTTGCGCTGTTTTAAAAGGTGACCTATCCAGACCTGAAGCTGCCAGATCAACAACAAGGAGGGCGTGTCTTTGTTTACTTTTGCTGTCGTTTTCAGTAACGCTGACACAACAGGTGGGCGCTCTCTTGCCGACGCCATCGATTACAAGGAAATCTAACAATGTTGCTCATTTACTTTCCTTAGCTCTGTTGCTTTCTTGCCGTCCTAATTAGTTCAAACAAATGAGCTGGCTGCAGCCACACATTCATTTTGTTTGACAAACTAGAATTATGAATGTCCTGGCTACTATTGAGTTCCCAGTAGAAATACACTCCATAAGAGCGAGCGGTTAATTTAATGAAACACTAAAGCCATAGTTGACTCCATTTATTTTAATTTTTGTTTTTTATTATATGCCCCCAAATTACTTTCCTCTGACTAGTGGATGCTAACAAAACACTATGACTAAAGAGTGGCTCTTGCATGTTACAGAAGCAGACATCGTTTCTCTGAATTTTTCATGCAGTACAGACTCATTGCCTTCACATTTAATTTGATCAACCAGCATCATCTCTATGCAGCTGTGTGAACCCGTTTGGTGTAAACTGTTAGACCTCTTTGTCATTCCACAAACGAGATTGTAAGACGATCTAACAAATGTAAGCGCTCCTGTGGTGTTAGTTTGTGAACATTTGGAAACGCTTGATCTTGTCACACTAGATGATTCTTAATAAGGAATCCTATTGAAGGATGTATTTGTACAAATGGAAATTCCAGTATTCACTGCGCTTTTGTAACATAATGTAAATCATTATTTGGACTATTTATTGTTAATATTTCTGAGACAAGTGTTTTTTCTGTTTTAATTTAAGGTGACATCCAAGAAAGGAGGAAAAAAAAAATACTGTTTTCAGTTTGTAAAAGGTGTTTTATTCTGTGCATAAAGATAGTTATAAAAACCTGCCTGTTTTCTTGTATTCACTGTGTTTGGGGGATACACAGCAGTTCATATGCAAGCTTGTACAAAGTTCGGTCTTTGGCCTTGGGCTTGTTTCTGACAGGTTTGTCAGCTTCTCCAGAGATGGATGAGTGGTTTATCCGCACAGATTCCACACTGAATTCCTCGCTGCTCCCAATAAAAGTGCAATCATGCTCCAATCCAGACGACACTTGACAAAGAATATTAGCTGGAAACAAAAACTCGACTGCACGTACGTGTGCTGAAGTGACTCATTTTCAGTGATGTGCTCTGCATACTGCATGGAAAATATGACCCAGAAACAGGTCGGGTGCTGCACCATTTTTCAATGAGAAATTGTTGGCAAACGTTGACTTTGTAACCACAGTAGATATTTTAAAGGAGAGTAAGTGACACAGTTGTGGGTAGACATTCTGCCAAAACATCAGACATGATTCCTTTACCACAGTTTGGTTTATTTAAGTTGTTCTGTTTGCATCAGGAGTCCCAAATTATGGAGTTCAAATTAAACCATCTCTTCTCACCAGCCTGCAAAATGTGATACTGCAGGCTTTTGCCAACAATTTGTTGTTTTTGGGTGGGAAGGGTAAAAGTTTCTCAGACATGACAGACAATATCAACATGTAAATTAGACATTAAACAATGAATAGTACAAAAACCCACTCCAGCTCTGTCCCAGATGTTATAAAACAGATCTCCTCATTTCCTCCAAAGTCTTGCTTATTTCAGGTCCTAGACCTCACCAGCTTGAACATCACTCATCCTTAGGTTTTTGCTCCTTGCGAGCGCGCGAGGACATGAGCTTGAAGAAAAGTGCAGGCCAGAGTGTGCGGAGGTATACTGCAGCAGTGGGCAGAGGGCCGGCCAAAACCACGTCTTTACTTTGCTGACGAACAGCCTTTAGGACTTCCCACGCCACGTCCCTGGGGTCCCAGCCCGTAGCTGTAGTTCTGTCCAATACTGAGCGGTAGTTGCAAAGACAAGAGACATGTTGCATCATTGATACAAGAGAGTACAGATTACTTCAATTAATTCGAATTACTTTTATTTATATAGTACCAAATCACAACAGCAGTTGCCTCAAGGTGCTTTTTAATGTAAGGTAAGAAAGACCCTACAATAACTTATAAATTACTCTGGTTATGTTGCTTCTTACTTTTATTATTTAGTTATAAAAATCCATTTGGCTTGTAGTCTTTTCCTTACATAGTCAAAAAAAAAAAAATCAGTAAGAAAACACAAAATCCCAGCTGGCATCAAAGATCCACACACATTCCAACACCACCTTAATAACTCTGAGATTTATCACCTGTTACCAGCTGACTCTTAAAAATGCTGCTTTTGCTACTGTTACTCTTTTGTTCCATCCTCTTACTGCCTCACCTCCATACTTGGATCCATCTCCTGTGACAGCGTTGATCGACAGGTTGGTTTGGATGTACCCGGGGCTGATCACAGTCACTGGGATCCCGTAGCGCTCCATCTCTGCCCGCAAGCAGTCGAAGTAGGCCTGGGTGGCGTGCTTGGACGCAGCATCTGACCAGCATGAGACAAATCAGAGGCTTGCTTTAGTTACCCTCCTCCTGCTGGCAAACTCATGTTGTGTTTGTTTGCATTAATCAAAGACGACTTACAGGCTGACCGGTAAGGAATGGCTATCTTCCCCTGGACGCTGCTAATCACTACAATATGGCCGCTGCGCCGGCGAACCATGGAAGGCAGGAGAGCTGTGGAGAGAGGAAAGAAATGAAAGAGAGAGGGCTGACTCATATTCATGATAATCTTCACCTAAATCTCTACATAAATGACTTATTAACTTCACATTTAGCTCGGCTCTTTCAACCACAAGCCAAAATAAATGAAAACATCCCGTACGCTGAAACCAACAAGATTAAACAAACCTTGTGTAAGAGCAACGGGCCCGAAGTAATTTGTCTCCATAACATCCCGCTGAACTGAAATGTGAGTCTCTAGTATATTGCCACGGTAACTGATTCCAGCATTATTAATGAGGATGTCCACTTGTCCGTAACATTTCAGGATCTCTTCTGCAGCTCTCTCCACCGTGTCCGTTTTAGCCAGGTCGAAGACAACAGTACAGGGAGTGTGAATCTGGTGGATAACCAAAGCGAAACAAAACGACTCTTTACATATGGATCCTTAGAGGCTAAGCTATAGTTCAGACAGACCAGACTTTATTGTGTTACTCCTTTGTGTGTATATACATACCAGTTTCTGTGTGTTTGCTGAACTCGCTGTTAGTTCTTGGACCACCTGCTGCAGGCGAGCTGCGTCACGTCCACACAGCACAAGCTGTGCACCTGCAGCGTGGAAGACCCGCGCACACTCTACAATGCAGAATTCTCGTTGTAGATTAGTGAGCATAAAACAGGGGTGGGTGCAGAGAGCCACACCACTAAGCTGAACTCAAATCTGCTCAGTATCTCTGTAATTCTTACCAGGAGCACTTTATAAAACTGAAATAAGCATAGAAGAAAACTGCTAACATTTTTATCATGATATAATAAACATTCCCCAAAACAATTGTGCACAAAATGTCCATATTTTTGCAAAATTTAAAAGACTTAACTTTATTTTAAAATAAGTGCTATCGCTATTTTTAATTATTTTTTCTTGCTCAGCTACAGGAATCTAGTCCGTCTTGAGTTTCTACAAGTGCATCCAGTGAACCAACAGTGCAACAAACTGAAGTTAACGGTTTTAGTTACAACACCAACAGCATGGTTCACTGACTTGCACAACACCTTCTGCTGTACGATTCAGCGGGGGGGGAAAAGCAATTTTACTTCTGGCTTCATTTCAGTCACTTTATCTTGCATCTGCTTTAAAAGTCCCACATTTTTCCCTGTCAGATTTTGACAGGTGTAAGTTGTTTACAAACAAACAAACTTTGGTAGTCCCTTTTACTGAGCCTGTGGCTGCTAAACTCTTTTCGTTGTCCCATGTAAAAAATTCATTAACAGGGCTGTGTCATCACAACTGTCATCCACAGCCACCAAGCACTCTTTGATAAACTCCTCAGAGGATGGCTTGTTTGAAATCACAAAGCTGGTCTTGCCTGCTCCATCCCTGGATGTGTGAGGCTTAGTGAAAAGTCCTGTTGCTTTTCGCAGATTTGCTAGCAACAGTCCAGCTCTTTTCTCTCTCTGTTTAGTCTCACAAAGGGGATTCAATCTGTAATCCCTAAACAGAGCAATCTGCTCTCCACAAACTAAACACATGGCTTTACCTCTGACTTCAGTAATTAAATATTTAGAAGTCTACGTCCTGTTAAAAACTCTACACTCCGTATCAATCTTTCCTGTTTTTAAAGGTAAGCTGACATCTTTCGGGGCTAGAAACTCTCAGAAACAAAAGATCAGGCACACTTACAGAGGAGATGCATTCGCTCACAAACATGTGTTTGTAAAGTAAAAAAATAGCATTCATGTTCAAAATAGAAGTGACAAATTTGTAATGTGGTTTCCTACAAAAATCAGGAATCCACTCTCTGACCAGGAATTTATCAAAGAGTGTTTGGTGTCTGAAATGGGACAAAATGATTCATGTATATGTATATATGTTTAAATCCTAATTTCCCATTGATCGCACGCAGACTGGTCCGAGACAACCAACGGGCAGTACAATGTCCAAATCTGATAAAGAACTACAACTACATGTTGGCATCTGCACAACAACACTGAAGAATGAGATTGCACATTATCTAAATAAAAGCCTACTAGCACTAAAGCAGTATGGTTTAGTGAGTTTGCACATGTAAGCTGAAATGAATGAATGGAGGCTGACCTTTCCCGAGTCCAGAGCTGGCCCCAGTTATGACCACTACAGCACCTTGGACTGAAGCCCCTTTTCTGAGACGTACAAGTATCCGGTACAACAATACGACTCCCAAACCGGTTAAAACCACCGGTAGCATTCCTCCTCCCATCACACGCTCCATTACTTGGCAATCACCAGCTACCTGCAGGTAAAAAATAAACAGTAAATACCTTATAAGAAATTACTTACTGTACCTTTAAAGTCCATCTGAATGCAACTACCAACATGACAATAATAAACACACATACAGCCAAAAAGGGGGGGAATTAAATGGTAATTCATTGTAATAAGAACAGTAGGAGTTATGGATCTTCCTTTATCTTCTTAACCACTTAAGCCCCACCTGCTAGCAACAACCAATAACTTGATATCACCAGACTTCGGACAATCTTATTAAGCAAATGTTAACTAAATACATGCATCACTTAGCACATTAATATTCGCATGGTTAAAAAGTACAGTTCAGTATGCCAGGTGAACACCTTGCACATGCACACACTGGGTTTAGCACTAGCTTGTTCTGCGCAGGCAGTGTCAAAATAACGGCTACTGAGGCTAAAGCTAACAACAGCTAGCATCTCTAGCAAATACTACCAAGTGTTGGTTTGTAGTTCTGTTTTTTACAGGTCTCACCTGAGCCGTGCTGCTGAGCAGAGCAGCAGTAATGTGTCAATGTGTCTCCTCTTCTTTTAGCTGATCTTCTTCCTTCTGTTTTGTCTTTATTGACGGTTAGAAAAACAGCTTTTGGTCGCTTTAGCGCCACCGTCTGATCTGGAGTGTGCACTTAACAAAATGCGCTCTTTCAAATGATTAACAAATAAGGAAATAAGCTATTATTTCTCGTAAAGCTCATAATTTGATAATTTGCTATATTAATGCTTTACATTTATATTTAGAGGTCTTTTTAAACCACTAGTGCCTATTTAATCAGCTGCTATCTTCTTCATTGCTACATGATCCATTAGAAGTGTGCTCTACATCTCATTTCAGTTTTTCTTTTTAATTATTTAAAAATTCTTAGTTTTAGTTTACTTTATTTTTTATTTTTTATTACAAAATGTAGGGTATTTGTCAGGTTCATATTCTTCAGAAGTTCAGAATGGAAATTGCATCACAAACACAGGAAGTTGACTCAGAGTCATGCAGACATCCTGAGTGTGAATAAATACAGCTGAGGTCAGAAGTTTACAGGGACTCACTATGGACTTTAATTTCATGATCTCTTTGAATTGTCCTGGGTGAAATGATTGTACAGCACACATTTTTAATTTCTTTAAAATGAACAAAAATTAGGTAAACAAGTTTGAACTGGTTTTGAACTTTCTCTAATCCAAGGTTACACGAGGTCAAACGTATGTACCTCTAAGGCTGTTGCAAGTTAAAAT